CCTCCCCTACATTTTTTTAAATAAATGTAGGAGAGCGAAGCCCTTGTATCGGGTATTTTGTATAAATATATTGTGAGCCTTTTCCAAGCGGGAAGGGATAAATAATAAATAAATTAATAATGCAAACCTGATACAAGTGGAATAGGGACGTTTTATGTTCTTAACCTTTCTCGAGCCATTTCTTCGTGAACGGGGTTCACTTAACTTATAAGGCACTACCAACAGCTTTCAATTGCTCTAGTGAATATTCATTCTTCCAAAAGACACCTAAAAGAACTAAGTTACTAAACAAACACAACGTAAATAAGGGTCCTAACTAAGACGATCGCGCCAAAATATTACAAACGGCCTATTATTAAACCTTTAGAAAGATCATTTAGAAAGATCAAAACATATTTTATTTATCCTGGTCACATATATATATAATTATTATGTAAAGGGGAATATAATACATTTAGTATTTAATATATTTATTATTATGAGAGAGGGGGGAAGCGTTACAGCATGTTTTTTTTGTAATACAGTCTGCTTAATCTTACCGCAGAGATAAAAATCTAAGGGTGTGAGATCAGGTGATCGTGCCGGCCAGTTGACCGGTCCACCGCAGCCAATCCATCTTTCACCGAACTCAGTGTCCAAAAAACTTCTTACACAACGGGAATGCGGTGGAGCACCATCGTGTTGAAACCACATGCGACGAACGAGGTCTAAATTTATTTCGTCAAGTTCATTGCTTAGTTCTTCTCGCAAAAAAACGTCCGTAGTTTTCACCGCTCATTGTGTGGTCAAGGAAATACGGACCAATAATTTTGTCACCTATAATTCCCGCCCACACATTGATTTTCCATCGGTGTTGAAAGTGGCTTGGTTTATACGAATGCAGATTTGTCGTTGACCATACGTGTTCATTATGAGCGTTAAATACACCTGTTCTTACAAAAGAGCATTCATCCGTAAAAAGTAGGCGGTTCAAAAACTCAGGATCTCCTTCAACCTTATCAAGTAACCATCTACAATAATCCGTTCTCGGCTCGTAGTCGTTGGGAAGAAGACACTGAACTTGACGATAATGATACGGGAGCTGGCCATCATCTTTGAGGGCTCTCCAAACGCGCATATGGTTCACACCTAGTTCACGTGCCACCGAGCGCGTGCTCCGCGTCGCATCTTCCTCAAACATGTCGATAATGTGCTCCTTGATGTCATCGTCGTACATCCTCGGTCTTCCTGAATCTGTACGTTGTTGATCACGGCCATGCCGTACTGAACAACGTACAGATTCACATTCAGGACACTGCCAGTATTGTACATACGAATGTGAAGTCATTGGAACGTCATCGCCGACGGCAATTGTATATTTCGTGAAGTGGCAAAGCACTCCCCGTAAAGTCTTCGTGCTGCTGCATATTGCAGTTACATTTCCCGAGACACATCAACATATTAAAATATTCCTCGTTTGAGTAAGACATCGCACACAAGTCACTCACGGCGGAATATTAATTTCGCAATATTATAGCCCCTCTACACGTTGGGCCAACGCGATGGCCCACTATGATGGGCCAACGTGTGGAGGGCGTAGTTGTGTCGGATGGCTTATGGCGCATGCGATGGTCTCGGGATTGGCGACGGTGTCGGTTTTTCCGCCGCACATCAAAGGGTAGTGGGCCAACGATGGCGGTACGCATCTACACGTGGCCCATTCCACAGTTGTGCGTGCTCGACTGTTGAGTGTGGACGTTCGCGCTTTGTTTATATATTAACGAAAATTAATTAAAATGACGAATACGTGGCCTCATAAAAGTTATAATTTTTTTTTAATTATATCGGGGGAGAAAGCGTGATATGGGATCCAACACATAAAGAACACAAAGATAAAAATAAGGAAAGATTTAGTTTTATTTATATATATATATATATATATATATATATATATATATATATATAATAGGGTTTAAATTTAGGGTTTATACATATTTAATAGGATATGAATAAAATCACCATTTTTAAGTAATTATAAACCCAACACAGATGATAAGTACAATTTTAAAGACTATTTATACTTGGTAAAGTCACGCTGCAGCTATATTACGGTTGTACCACGAATGGGTCGGCTCGACCGGGGAAGTACCACGCTCTCACAGAATACCAGCAAATAGCAGCTTAATACTGCTGTGTTTCGTATGACGAGTGGAGAGATCTGGAGACCCTTTTTTACTGGAAATTAGGCATTCCATCTTAGTCCTCAGGAGTGACAACGCATTTGCGTTTTGGTTCTTAATCGAGGATAAATGTAGATATCTATGGGCCACAGCATCCACATACCATCAGTTGGACTGTGTGCTCGTTTGTCACTCTTATTCTTTAAAAAAATAATTATCTTAGGTACTAGGGGTACTATTTTAGGTCTTCTTCTACGCCATTTCTTTTTAATAACTCTATTCTTGTGCACATTAAGAAAATAACGGTACGTGTTGTATAGATAAATTGCCGCAGCGGCTAACGCTTCCACGTCCATCTCGATAAACGTTTCGATCACAACTGAATGTCGCCAACGTGTAGTTGCGTTGCAGCCATCGCATGGCCATCGCGCTGGGCCAACGCTGGCCCATCGTGTAGAGCAGGGATGTTATGGAGCTCCGTAACCGTAACCGAAACTATCGGATATCCGAAATAAAAAACTATTCGTAACCGTAACCGAATCCGATATAAAAGTTTCGGATAATTTCGGATAAGGGTAGGGGCTGAGTCTAAATGAGACTTGTTATAACAGGTTTCTTTTTTTACATTAGCGGCGCGTGTCTCTTACTCTTGCATTGTTTGTTTATTATTTATGTTGCAGTCATACATAAGTCCCGTCAGTCAGTTTTATATTTAGGTACGAGTAATTAGTTTAGTTCGACGAAGTGAAAGAAAAGTGTTGTGTTATTAAATTGTTTACCTAATCTGGACCAAATGCGACCTAAGTCTAGTTTAATTTGGAGATTTTTTTAATCAAGTTAATGCAGATTCCGCAAAATGTAAACAGTGTGATAAAACCTTTTCACGAAAAGGAGGTGGCACTACTTCGCTTAAACTTCATCTTAAATCAAAACACGGTGATAAGTACGAAGAACTTTTGTTACTAGAAAAAGATATCCAACAAATACCACATACCACGAAACAGCTGACACCATTACAAGAGTGTAAAAAACAGCTGTCAATAACAGATTCTTTAAAAAATAAAGGCGCCTGGGATGAAAGTAATGTCAAGCAAAAAGAAATTGATAAATTAGTAGCTGAAATGATTGCATTACAAAACTTGTCATTTAACTTTGTGGAAGGTGTCGGCTTCCAAAGATTAATGCAGGCAGCATTACCACGCTATCATCTAAGAGGTCGGCAGTATTTTACTAATTTGCTGTGTACTGATATATACAATAAAATTAAATTAAAGGTGCTGGGATTACTTAAGCAATTTGAAAAGTTGTCATTTACTACAGATGTGTGGTCAGAGCCCAGCTCAAATGTATCGTTACTTAGTCTTACTGCTCATGGCATCACCAATAAATATGAAAGAGTTTCTATAATACTCAAGTGTGAACAATTAGAGGGTCGGCACACAGGTGAAATTATAGCAAATAATTTAAACAATATTTTGAAAGATTGGGGCTTAAGCACGGAATCAGTTCATTGTATTTTACGCGACAGAGGATCTAATATGATAAAAGCTATGAATATGGCCAATTTCACTGATGCAAACTGTACTATTCATCAACTACAATTATGTGTGCGATCAACGATGGAAATCGAAGAATTTCTCTCGTCAGTAATTACGAAGTGCAAGAAAATTGCAACTCACTTCAATCACTCCCTAATCGCGCAAAATGAATTGAAACAAATTCAAACAGAAAGACTGAACCAATCAGGACTAAGTATAATTCAGGAATGTTCCACACGGTGAGATTTTTTTTATTCTATTTTATACACCTATCTATTATGTAATTTTTTTTTTATTTGATTTGACATTGTTTTTTCTTTTTTCACAGATGGAACGCGACGTATTATATGATGAAAAGAATATTGACATTAAAAGACTCCTTAGTACTGTATTCGGGCGCGCATGATATACCAATTCTTAATGCTGATGAATGGCTCGACTTGAAAAAGTGTGTTGCAATACTAAAGCCGTTCGAAGAAATTACAAAGGAGTTAAGTAGTGCTACTGCAACAATAGCATCAGTGATTCCATTAATATATACTCTTAAAAACACACTAGAAACAGAGAAGAGTAAAGAAGAGACTTCTGAGAACTTCAAATTAATGATTACGAAAATGATCCAAGACATCAATGTCAGATTTCAGGATATTGAAAATAATAAAATATATACAATAGCTACTTATCTAGATCCACGGTTTAAACTCAAGTTTTTTACTGAAATTACGAAGGAACAGGTACAGTCTGAGATTCTGGGGATTCTTGGGTGTTCAAAAGCTTCTCGTGATGAAGGTCCTTCTTCACCTAAGAGATCACGGAATGAGATTCCGACAACAAGCTCAAGCAACTATTCACACATTCAATCTTGTCTAGCTGAAATATTAAGCTTAAGTGACGAGGAAGAGCAAAACATAGATTGTGGTGATGATGTGCACAATCAATTTATTGTTAAAAAGACATTACTAAATGAATACAACAGGGAGAAACGATTGACACTCAATGAAGATCCACTTTTATGGTGGAAAATGCATACCAAGTACCATTGCTTAAGTGATTTAGTAAGACAGTACCTTTCTCCACCTCCTGGAAGTGTACCAAGTGAGCAGCTTTTCAGTGCAGCTGGGTTAATTTATGACCCCTTAAGAAATCGACTTTCTGGTGATAAGGCTGCGAAATTGCTTTTTGTTAAGTATAATTTACCTTTGCTTAGTTTCGACTATTAAAAGAAATCATTAAGTGAAAGACAAGTAAATATTTTGTTATGTTATGTTCAGATTTTAGTTTTTATTCTTCAATATGCAAAGACTTAAGAAGACTGATTTATGCGTTGTAATAGTTCCTAGAAATATATTGAAGAATATAATAGAAAAAAAACTAATAGCATTGTTTTTGATTATAATAATTTTGTAATAGCATTTTTAAGTAGATAACTTAAAAATATGTAGGTAGCTACATTAATTAGTATACTATTCTTATAAAATTGTTAATTACTTGAATAAATGACTGATTGTAATACCAAATGATAACCAAGATATAAAGCCAAATGATTACCTACTTATTTGTATTTTACTTAAATACCTCAAAAATCTTATCCGATCCGAAACTAACGGATAATCCGAAATAATTTTATATCCGTAACCGAAACCGAAACCGATATAATATTATTCCCATATCCGTATCCGTATCCATATCCGAAATATCATATCCGTAACATCCCTGGTGTAGAGGAGCTATAAAACACAGCCGTCAATATCAGTGCTAACGCGCTACTGGTGTTTGATGCTTGTTTGTTTGCATAGACGTGGCAAAGCTATTGTTTTCTATAACATCATTTAGATATTTTCTAAATCAATAAAAAATTTCGTGATTTTTTTATGTTATCTTTTTAATAATAGTTATTATTTATTTATTTACTTCAGACAGCGTCCGTGTTATTAAGAAATTAAATTATAGCTAGGATATAAAAATACATAAACACTTTTATAACAAGAAACATTTAAAAAATTGTGTTATAAATTCACACAATAACAAATACTTAAACCATTATGCTGCTGTGTTTTTCAAAATCTAATAACTAGCATTTTGTTATCGACCGACGATAAACAATACTTATTTATATTTCTATTCTTGACCACTGAATTGTGACAAAATTTTATGATTGTAAAATTTCCCATGTTTTTAAATATTACTACCAAATATTATTAGCACAGAATAAATAATAGATATGACGACCACGAAGATATTGTTCAATATGTCCACCTGTCACACATTTGCGACACCGGCTTATATGTTTTATCGACCGACGATAAACAACCCTTATTTAAATTTTTATTCTTGATCACTGAATTGTGACAAAATTGTATGTTCAAACTTCCCATGTTTTTAAATATTACTACTAAATGTAATAATAAAAGTTTTTAAATATTAGCACAGAATAAATAATAGATATTGGATCAAAATTAGTTAATCGGCATAAAGTGGACGCTACTTTTAATCACTCGAAGAGTGGAGTTTTTTGGGTTTTTCCTAGTACCTAAGTCCTTCGTCGGCTTTCGCTTTATGGTTCAAAGAGCGCGCAAAACGCCGCGTATATTACCTATTAACTTTGTTTTGTTTATTATATTCTAGCAATAAACGACAATATGAATTTATTTAAAAAAATGATTACAACCTACTATATATTCTTTATCGTATAATAATTCATATGAAAAATACATACTAAATTTCTCCTACAAATAGTTGCAAATTTGGAATTAATCACGATATTTTATGCATGAAATAACCTTTTTAAATATTTTCGTAGATCTATTTAGCAATAAAGTGGAAATTTACAACATAAGTATTCAAATACTATGTGGATTGGGGTTCAAATAATATCCATTTCATTATAATTTCTATTATTTTAAAGTTAAAATTTTCGGAGAATAACTGAGTCTAGATAGGTATAAAGATTTACGCAAAAACCTTGGGGAAGCACGTGCCGCTTAGCGGCTTGCTTTGAGTCCGCCCTGTCAGTGACCTCATATTGGCCGTAGACTATTACCTATTTATTCTGTGACGTAGATAATATTATGTCGGCACGTGTCGGTAAGTTCAGAAGCAAATAACATTTTTAGAAATTTAATATTTCTTAAGTTAGGTATCTTATTAGAAACCCAAAAACCCCATTTGAAGCAACCAAAAAAAAATTTTCATTATCATAATTGCCATGCCTATGTGTACACCTATACGTCCCTGAAACGACCAACAGGGTTTTTGTTACCTACTGTATATATATCACTTATAGAACGTAAATTCAATGAAAAATAACAAATTTTTTTTAGTTAAATCTCATTTTTTACTTACAATTATTTAACCCTAGGCATATACAAAATTCCAATCAACATATCGTAGCGCGATCTCGCGCGCAGCGTCACTGTTTCAGTGTGTCAGTCGGTCTAGCGAGTGTCTAGCGAGTGCACGTTTAAATTTGATTTAACCCCCCCGCGCCGTGCGCCGTGCCGATATTCAACGCAAGCGGCGTTCGTGTGTGCGCAGTGTGTTTTAGTTTGTAATTATGTCGTACACAAACGTGCAGTGGACTGAAATGAAATGTCCGACTTTATGCCGTAGCTAGTGACAATGTGAACGAGGCTCGACGAATGTACGCAGAACTATTCCCTGGACAACCTGACAGTTTACCGTGCCGGTTCATGCTCAGGGGCGTGGCAACCAGCAGCTGCCAGTAACCCTTCAAGAACGTATCTTGGATTTCTTCGCGGAGAACCCAGAAGGGAGTACAAGGCGGGCGGCCTGTATTTTCGGTGTTTCTCACTCGACAATTTGGAAAATTCTACACATTGATCGTCAACATCCGTATCATTTTCAGCCGGTTCAAGAGTTAAATGAAAACGACCAGATACTGCGCGTGGTATTATTATTAAAACCAGTTTGTCTTGGCCTCGCTTTGTATGCTCTTTCCGTACAATGAACGGTCAGCTTATGCTTCAAATCCCGGGACCCCGGGTCCTTGATTGGACGGCGAGCTACCCATTGGTTTTGTATAGCTTATTGTGTAGCCGTGTGTGCATAACATTATGATTAACCTTTTAAATACGCCAAAAATCCTACCTAATGATTTACGTTTATGTTTAGTTTTCTTTGTTGTTAAATCTAACTTACATTAATTTGGACTCGTCACGCAACACAAAGGGTAGGAATTTTTGACTGTCCTAAGCCAGTATGAAAGTATGAAGGAAAAGTTACATCATAGGTTATGTGTACCATTGTGTTTTTATTAAAATGTTGTGTAGGTATCAAGGGCGGGCGGTGATCTTTACAGTGATTACGTCACTTGGGCGCATAGGGTATCCATGAATTTACGGACGATGTCGGACAGAAACTATTTTAATTTTATGAAAGAAAATAGCGTTTTTTTTTAAATCGGATAAATATTTTTATATTAAAGCCAACTACCTATGGTTTCAGTGACAACGGTGTTTACACTTACACACTGTATATATATGTGTGTGTGTGTATTGTTTATAATATATATTTTTTTATCCTCTCTATTTGATTATTGCTGCACCGCCTCCAAAATGTCCATCTCTGTTTAGCCTAATGGTTGACTGGGAGAGAATGCCCTATGATGCCATAAATTTTATGTAATGCCAAGAATTTTTATGTGTAGTAATCTTATTTTTCTCCGGGATGCTACCTTCACTGTGAAATAAATTTTTAACCACGCTATACAATCTATGATAAAACATTTTGTTCATTAGGCTATGTTAGTTCTAGAGGGACAGAAAAAAAATCGTTGATGATAAAAATTGTAGTTTTATTTATAACTGCTTGATAAACACAATAAGCATAGAATATAAAACATTACTAACATGTTATATAAAAAAATATTCTTATTATTGTCTTCCATGGTTGATTTTACATGGTTACATTGAGATTACCTTATTATGATAATACACTTTTTAGTACTTACTACTACCACTATTGCTGGCCTTTTGCAACCCTCCATAATTGTTTCCCTATGTTAATCTAATACATAAGTATTAATGTTTGTTTGTTCGTATTTTATGCGCTGCCATACCGTTCATCAGATTGTGGTAAAAAGTTGACAACTTATTGCTTGCATTTGCGCGAAGGTTATTATAGGCATAGTACAATAACTTACAGCAAGATGGCGCGCATATCCTATGGACAAATATGTTTGAGTTATATATCATTAAATTTCAATGAAGGTATATAATTAAACAATATGACTCTTCCAATTTTAAAACTATATTTTCACAATAATTATATCTCCTGCGGTAGCAACGCGCCGGCACAATCTAACTACTACTAACAATCAGTCATCGAACTCATCGAAGGCATCTATAAGGGGCTAAAAAACAGGTTTAGCGCACATTAGTGTGAACCATTTTAATTTATTTGCGTGACAGGACAACCCTAGCGGACAGCTCCCGAGCGGCCGTTAGTCACACGGGAGCGCTCTGCGCGCATCTCGACCCGCACCGCACCGCAGGATTGCCCCGTATAGACGCCTTCGACGAGTTCGATGAGTATCAAAATATACGCGTCTGTCCACAATCTTTAAAAGGTTGCGGTGTACTTATAAACTTCAGACATTAAACAGCCTTAGTTAATGTATGCATATCTCCCTATCGTAGAACATTGTTTTAATGTCATTAATCTACTTATCTCTGTATGGAATTGTCGGTATTGACAATAAAGGCATATTGGCAAAATGTGCCTTTTTTTGTGCCTGTTTCAGGTCATCTTAAGTGGCCCACATTATTGTCGAGCTTGTAGTGTAAAAAAAATGTACGCAGAGTTGTGTTTTCTTTTTATTCATCATTGTAAAGTATATTATCTTATTGTAAATAAAATAAATATTTATTGTAATAATTGCTTTTCTTTACATTTTTTATTCAACAAACTGAAAAAAAAAAACTTCTAGCACTTTTACCATGGAATTTAGAAAATATCAAAAATGTGAACATACACATTTACACATATTCTATTAGCTTACTTAAGAATAATTCTAACATATTATTATATATAGTTTCCATACATAATTCTTAAGATATTGCCATATTAATGACATGCATCATGTAAGCAATAAATCACTCGTTTAGGCTTGGACAGTTGGCGCCAAAGCAGCCATTTTGGCCGGGACAGTTGTATTATATTATTATATTAGTAATTTTTTTTAATTTAAACACAAATACTAAATTGATATTATTATGAATGTATTAGTTTCAATGAGTTGAATGATTTCCTTCCTTCAACATAAACCAATAAGATTACCCTATTCAGAAAAAATTTCATTTATCTCTTTAAGAATAAAATAACAAACAACACTTAACTATAAATGCATAATAAATTCATGGTCCCACAGCTTCTTAAATAGTAGGCTCCATTCGCACCTCAATGCTGACTGGCACTGTTTTTTAAAATTTTAGATATTATTTAATGCACTTCTATCTGGTATTAGCATTACCAACATTTTTTTGCTTATTAACGGCATACTGCATTAGTAAAATTAGATTTTTTAACTGAAATTGTTCAGCTATTTCCAGAAGATGAAAGCAGTTTTGTTTCAAAATGTCTTTTATTGTCCCTGTATATAAGAACTCGAGCAGCAGTTCTAAATCATCATCAGTTATATCAATAAACATTGAGTTTTCTTTGAGACTTTTGATCATATTTCTTAAAACGGGACTATGAGCAGCTAAAACAATCTTATGCGTTTTATACTCTTTTTGGCTTTGTGTTTTAATTATAAAGTCTGGCTTTTCCTGCTTGAATAACAGATCCCCTAAGTTATGTTGAAGCTTTATTCTATTGGTAACTATATCCATTTTTAAGTGTTTTGGATCCATTTGGATGGCAACTGGTATTACCAAAGTGTTGTGCTTCATCTTAGACACATCTGCTTCTGAGAAGCAAAATGTTTTTACAAAGCTTTTCCCATTAGGTTGTATAGCTTTCAATGTTTGCCATGTTAATGTATTAGACAAAAGAGAGCTATTATCGACATCACTAATAATCTGATGCGTTAGTTCATCACCAATACTTATACCCAGAGAAACAACCCCAGGTTTTCTATGGCATAGAAATAAATTGAGTAGATAGTTGTAGCCTGGGCATACAGAAGTGACATAAAAAAACCATAGATCTGGCTCATCGGCAGTATAAGTGCCACCTATGTCATACTGACCTGGGGATTTTAGTTTTAAGCCAATATCATAAATGCAAAGCTTTTCAGCGTCTGCTGTTTGGCATTTCATTGTATTCAATGCAGACACTTCATTGTTGGGCATCTGAAAAATTAAATATTAATTAATATTATTGGTGATATTTCTGTGGTTTTCTTGTAATTGGAAAATAAAAATGATAGAATAAGATATATACTTAATAGAATAAATGTATTATGATTAGTGATGCAACAAATACTACTTTTACGAAAACAAATATCAAACCTACTATTTGGTGAATATGAATATCTCGCCATGGTAATAAAAACTAATTTATTTCATGATTTTCTATTGTTCTCACAATAAAAATTTACCACAGGCAAATTTTTATTTAAGAAACATAAAATTTGTAGATTTTCTGGTTTTAGGTGATTTCTTTTTTCAGTCTGGATGTTCCCTGCCATTGATCTTTCCGAGGGGACTGTACATAGTTTCAGTGTAAACTACTTGGTTTTTCAGCCTTGGAAAATGGACATCTTCTCCCTAAATAAAAGGCTAATGGATCAGCAGTCGGCAATAAGCTTGGGAGCTTTAGATAAGCATCTATCTCACTTTTAGTGTGCGAATGTAAAAACATTTTACTTCTACTATGTAGATGACAATGAGTACCTATTAAAAGTTAATAACATTCCTAACTTTTTTTAATACTCACCACCACTCACCATCGAGGTTCTTCTGGAGATCCCATCGTTGCAACCGACGAGCCGCGTTTTCAAAGTCTGCCACTAATTAGAGTTGCATACAAAAATATTTGTGTATAATTAATATAACATTCGGTAAATGTCTACTATGTCTATATAAATATTCATATTCATTGCATCACTAATTATGATATAATTAGATAAAACCCAACCAGAAAGAAGCTCTCACCAAGGGACCTAATGGGGGTGTTGGGGGTTAGGGGGAAAGGGAAAGGAACTGGTGGACAATGCGGGCAGTATCAAGGAGCACCACCTTCAGCATTTCAGCCCGGAGCAGTCTATCACATAGTCCATATTAGAAGACCAAAAAGCTGATTCGAATTAATCCATAATTGTTATGGTAGTAAATAGTTTTATTCATTTATTATATTCATTTTATTCACTATATATATAAACACTGGCACTTCATCATTACAGCCCATCAGAAGTCCACCGGTGAACATAGGCCTCCACCAACAAATACAAGAAGGCTTGATCCTTAGTCGGGTGCATCCTCTCTGCATAACTTATCAGTAAATCACTACATCAAGTAGATGGCTACTCTACAATTCGGTAATTGAATCATTGATACGAAACTGTCATTCAAAAATCTTTCTTCTCCATCCGTTGGTGAGTTTTCAAGATGAATGGCCGTTAAAATAATTAAAATTAATGCTTAACAATAGTGTTGAATCAGACGTCTGTTATCACTCACCTTGATTTCATGTAAAAACAAAACTAAACTCGGTATAATTATATTTCTTGTGCTAAAACAACTCCAATCAACTCCAAAGGTACTCTGTGACGAACAACTCTTAGGAGGTAATCTGTGTCATAGATAAATAAATATGTAGCAAGCTAATCTGTGTCTGTGGTATTCGGTACACAGATTCTGTATGCTAAAATAACGAAATGTCATATAATAACTTTTTTTACGGCTTTATGGCTCTGGGTTCTAGCCCTTTTAAGCCTACGATTTCTTTCAGAATTTTCGTTTTTATAAATTTTTTCTTCACAATATGCTAATGCGTCACATTGCGAAGTTTTGGGAGATTTCAAAGACAGCTCAACCCAGTGGATAGTTGATGACGACAATCACTCAAGTTCACAAGGCGCCTAAGTGATCAAATAACTTGAGGTATCAACATCGACGCACTTGTTTTGTCGTTTTCTCTAATAGTTTACACGCGCAGACCCTTAATTCACAAAATCAGATCACTTTTACGAATCAAAATCCACTTCAAACCAGAATAAAGGGCCTAAACTACCTCAAGTGGCTTAGCAAGATCCTCTGTTATGCCGAAAATACTGCAGCATTGTTTTTGAAATAAATATATAGTGAAGTTGAGGATTAATGTTAAGTACTATGTTAGATGAAAACACGATTCCATAAAATATTCTCGATAGAAACAAAATCTAAAGTACCTCCAAAACGAACTATAAATCGCTGGTATTCAAAAAATTCTTCAAATTAGATCATGAAACTTTGCATACTAACTGAACTAACTATAAAGCAGGGCTTATGTTTTTAACTTTTTTTAAATTATCATTATTTTCACCGTAAAAATAAATTACCTAAAGATAAGATAAGATGCTTTATTTGTTTATTTGTTGTGTTATCCTAAATATTCTACCATTTCCGGCGTACAAATATTTTCAGATTGATAATTTTTCAAATAAAGTAGAAAACTAAGACATTAATTTAATATATAATATATAAATTTATGGTATAAAAGAAAAACTATCGTGGTTTCAAAGTTTGTTCCCTGCCGCCCGACACTCACTCACTCACGCTTCAGCTTTCGAACGGGAGAGCTGTGTCGCTTACGCTCAGAACACACATTACGCAACACGACGACGTAAAATTAAAATATTGAAATAGATACTTAGGTTTATAGAAACGGGCAAACGTATTGTGACGGCCCAATATTATTATTAATAATTAAATTCAATATAAAGGGGCGTCAAAAATATTCTTAAAAGATATATATTAAACAATAAAATTACATTAATAACCATAAAGTTAATATAAATACATTTCAGACATTAGACCAATAACATAGTAAATTAAAGGCAAAATATTGTCTTCCATAATAAATAAATTTATTAAAAACTTGAAAAAATATTTAAAATAAGATCATTAATAGAAATACTAGTCGAAAATATTATAAAAATAAAGATAAATAACATTTATAAGATAATTAGAAAATTTGTTGAAAATTGTCTAAGTCGTGGAAGGAGTTCATGTATAAAAGAAAATTTTCCTAAGTTGTTGAAGGAGTTCGTGTATAAATTTCCTAAGTTGTGGAAGGAGTTCACGTATAAAAGAAAAGTTTCCTAGGTTATGGAAGGTGTTCATGTATAGATGTCTTGTATAGAGGAGCTGCCGGAGATACATACCTGCAGTTGTACATATATATGGGGTGGTCGGGAGCCCGACTGCCTGAAGTACTGTAGCACAATGACTAGTCCTATATTAGGGACTTATGATATTAAACTCACATGATACAAAAGCAATACTATAGAAGGTCTCCATGATGAATTTGCATTACAATAGTAGGGTCGTGGGTTCGAACCCTATATATTAATGACTTATGAAAGTAAGGTCTATGATACAAAAGCAATACTATAGAAGGTCTCTATGATGAATTTGCATTACAATAGTAGGGTCGTGGGTTCGAACCCTATATATTAATGACTTACGAAAGTAAGGTCTATGATACAAAAGCAATACTATAGAAGGTCTCTATGATGAATTTGCATTACAATAGTAGGGTCGTGGGTTCGAACCCTATATATTAATGACTTATGAAAGTAAGGTCTATGATACAAAAGCAATACTATAGAAGGTCTCTATGATTAATATGCATTACAATAGTAGGGTCGTGGGTTCGAACCCTATATATTAATGACTTATGAAATTAAGGTCTATGATACAAAAGCAATACTATAGAAGGTCTCTATGATGAATTTGCATTACAATAGTAGGGTCGTGGGTTCGAACCCTATATATTAATGACTTATGAAAGTAAGGTCTATGATACAAAAGCAATACTATAGAAGGTCTTTATGATGAATTTGCATTACAATAGTAGGGTCGTGGGTTCGAACCCCATATATTAATGACTTATGAAAGTAAGGTCTATGATACAAAAGCAATACTATAGAAAGTCTCTATGATTAATATGCATTACAATAGTAGGGTCGTGGGTTCGAACCCTATATATTAATGACTTATGAAAGTAAGGTCTATGATACAAAAGCAATATTATAGAAGGTCTCCTTGATGCATAAGCATTGTATGGAGTGGTCGGGTGACCGACTGCTCCTAGTACTGTAGCAAAATGACTAGTCCTTATTAGGGACTTGAAAAGGAATATTATGGTGGTGTGTGTGCTGCTTCACGAGCAATTGGTCCGAGGTAAACTTGGACTCGCTAACCGATGTGTCCTAGACATATCATCTTAGTGCTGGTGGTAAGCGGGTTTGTTGTAGCAATACGGCTTTCCCGTGGACATCGCACACCCATACCGTTTGTGGGCGACGTCGTAGCGCATAGCGATGCGTCGTCTATCTTTCGGATTGGGATGAGTGTGTTTGGTAGCACTTTTAAGTGTAACAGGCATACTCAACTTCATGTCTTAGTGCATTAGCGCTATGATACGTGGAGTTTTGTCCACTGGCGTCTTAGTAGCGTGCTACTATGATACGTTGGTGCAGTTTTAAATAACAACACTCTTAGTGCCGGTGGTAAGCGGGTTTGTTGTAGCAATACGGCTTTCCCGTGGACATCGCACACCCATACCGTTTGTGGGCGACGTCGTAGCGCATAGGAATGCGTCGTTTATCTTTCGGATTGGGATGATGAGTGTGTTTGGTAGCACTTTTAAGTGTAACAGGCATACTCAACTTCATGTCTTAGTGCATCAGCGCTATGATACGTGGAGTTTTGTTCATTGGCGTCTTGGTAGCGTGCTACTATGATACGTTGGTGATATTTTTTGTATAACAACAATTAAAACTTTGTTACCAAATTGAATAAAACTATTATTTACGGATTTTATCGCGTTTAATTACTTTAATTTATTTTTATTATTATCTTATTATATATTATATTATCTTGAACATGTTCGCAGATTCAAGATCGTCCCCACCATTACATTAGATTTGATAAACCACAAATTCTCGCAAAAGAACACCGATTCCTACCAAGGATGATACGCGAGGCTATTGAAATTAAAAAACATCCAAATTTCAATAGAGAAGATGGTTGGGTGCTACCATCTGCTTGGGATCCTATAATTAACAAAATTAAACCCAAACCCAAGCATACCACTGCAAGACTTCATGATACTATAAGCTCGTTTTGCGTAAATCGGACCAAAAATTAATATTAAAAAACTGAAGGTAGCCGGATTAACTATGACATTGGGACGTCAAACATCTCAGTCCCCCCCCGTGACCATGGGCGCTGTAAAGCACCCGAAACGTCGGGATAATAATAAAAATAAATTAAAGTAATTAAACGCGATAAAATCCGTAAATAATAGTTTTATTCAATGTGTAGTGTTCGCGTAAATTTAAGAAATCATTTTGTTACCAAAGTCGATAGGGATCATGTGGGTGTGTTGTGAGGGAGGGCGGGGCATCCGTATGATAGTTGCGTTGATACTTACTGCTACTTGCGGTATTGCGTCTTGTGATGGATCTGCGGGTGTGCTGCGCCTGATTCGACGCACTCTTGTGGTTCTGGTCAATGGAGGTATGCAGGTGGTGATGTCTGCTGGGATGTATGGGGGACCTTGGGATGGTGTAAGCCTGACGATAGTCGTATTGATGCTTGTTGCGTTCTGCAGCGTTGCGTCTTTGCGATGGTTGTTTGGTGGGACGCTATTCTCAATGGCGCTTTCTGCGTCTTGGTTTGACTCACGCCTGAGTAGCTTTGTTCAAGTCGGGTCCCTTCATTACGGGGCTGCAGACTGTCTGCCCTCCACGATGTTTTATATAACAACATAATATTATATCTCTGTAACTTTCCCACCTTTGAATGATTGAAGGCAACTTGTTGGTGGGTGAGACAAACATGATCGAAAATGCATTTACTCAACGTCAGTGACACAAACCCTTTCTGATGGCGAATTATTACTCTTATCTTATAACTGCCTTTTGGCTATATCTGCCGTTGTATTGGTTGGTGGAGCATATGTGTCGACCTCATGCGGTGGTAGCTGGCGGGAGGATCTGAGGAGACTCTCAAGGCTGCGGCCGAAAGCCGCACAACGTGGGACCCCATTCCCTTGAGGTGAGCGGTAGACTCATGACACGCTCTGCGGCTAGTAGCCGTGCTGATCATGCAATTGGTGGTGATGCCATACACTTACATCACGTCTGCGGGAGCGGCGGTCTGGCAGGTGGTGGCGCTCACGCGGAGGGTTTACGGCCAGTGCGCCTATTTGCCTAAACCGTGTGACGTACATTCACTGTGGCTGGATTCGTTCGTATTCTGTACGGACGATTCTGTCGGTGTTTGTGCTTACGCACTAACAAGGGGCCAAGCCTCTTTTACTGGTTCGCTAGTTATTTTGCTGTGGACTACGGTCCAGTTCCAGAATTAGCGTTCCCTTCGGGGGGGAGTGCATCAAAATGGTTGGCGCTCACCGTGCACGGCGTGTGTGGGGCCGTGTGCCTCCCCCTACATTTTTTAATAAATTTAGGAGAGTGAAGCCCTTGTATCGGGTATTTTGTATAAATATATTTTGAGCCTTTTCCGAGCGGGAAGGGATAAATAATATATAAGTT